CGGTAGGAGGAGGGCCGGGGAAGGATCTGGTCATGCCTGCTGCCTTGGGCCTGTGGAGAGCCCCTGTCCACCGAACTCCTCCCTGTGTGGGGCTCTGCTGTATGCCAGTCGCTCGGCATCTCTGTGATGATGGTGACATGCCTTCCTGCGTGGGGGGCTGGGGGCCAGCAGCACTAAGCCCCAGCTTGTGCTGGGGCTGGAAGGCAAAGTGGGCAGAGATGGGTAGGGAGACCTGGCTAGGGTGCGGAGGCCCCGACGGCCCCGAGGTGGCCCTCACCAGTCACCTTCCCCTTGCAGGAGCAGGAGGCTGCCTGTCACCATGAGCAGCACGTTGTCACCCACCGACTTCGACAGCTTGGAGATCCAGGGCCAGTATAGTGACATCAACAACCGCTGGGACCTGCCCGACTCTGACTGGGACAATGACACCAGCTCTGCCAGGCTCTTTGAGAGGTCTCGGATCAAGGCTCTGGCAGGTGAGCCTGCTCTTCCGGTACCCCTTGGCCGACCGTGCACACCCACAACCACCCCAGCCCTCCCACTTCCCCCAAGCCAGACGGGCCAGTGTAGAGAGGGGCTGCAGTGGCTGGGGGAGAGTTTCTGCACTTTGAGGGCCACTGCCTTTCTGTTTAAGCTGCCGCACTCAGGTGGGGGGCCTTAGAGTCCCTCCCAAACAGCTCCTCCCCAACTTCAGCCTCAGAGCATTCTCCATGGGGACCCCCCAAACTGAGGGAAGCTCTAGAGGGTCCCCTCTGCTGATTGTAACCATTTTCCCTCCTGGCTTCAGCCGTAGTCAAGCCCTTTATAGGCGTCCACTCCTTCAAGCCCTCTGCTCCACCCACCGCTCTCTGTCATCCCCACACCTGTTCATTATTCACCTAGTCCCTTCCACCTGCCGCCTGTTACTCCCATTATTTAACCAACCTGTTCCCTGCAGCAGGTTCCCTCCACCCTGCTGGCTTCCTTCCGCAGCCGCCCCTTCTCCAGGGGTTCACCCTCCACCGCCTCCACCCCTGCCCTCCCCTCCAGCCAGGGCTCTCCCTGTCAGCTCTTCCAAGCACAAACAAACCCGTAGGACGGGCCTCCCTGCGTTCTGTTCCAGGGAGGGGTTGCCATGGCGATGGGAGTGAGGCTGCCACCTGACACCACCAGCTTGGGGTTGAGTCACCCACACACCCCAAGGCCACCCACCCTGCTGGGCTTCCCTCCTCCATCCCACCCGGATCACCTCCCCTGACTTGCTGGTTGGCTGGTCCAGGGTGAGGGGGCAACCGCTCCCGGAAGGGAGTGCTCCTACCTGGGATGCTGCGGTGCTCCCACTGGGCGATGGTACACCCATCACAAGGTGGGGGCTTAGGCCAGAAGCACTCAGAAGGCAGTGCTCTCACCTGAGAGGCTGTGCCCTCTCTAGCAGGTGGTGCACCAGTATGGGTCTCCCCCCACCAAGTTAGAAGAGAGGAACAGAGGGTGCCGGTTCCCCAACCTGGCATTATTTCCCCAGAATCACTAGGGACATTTTTACAGTCCAAGTTCCCAGACCCCTCCTGGGACATCGCGAGCTAGAGCCCTGGGAAGAGCTGTCTGGAAACCAGGTTCAGGGTCTCCGGCACTTTCTAGAGCAGTGGTTCTCAACCTTCCCAATGCCGCGACCCTTTCATACAGTTCATGTTGTGGTGAAACACCCCCCCCCCAACCATAGAATTATTCTTGTTGCTACTCCATCACTGTCATTTTGCTACTGTTATGAATTAGGCGACACCTGTGAATAGGTCGTTCAAACCCCCAAAGGGGTCGCAACCCACAGGTTGAGAACCGCTGCTCTAGAACCTTCTCTGGCAGCCAGCTCAGCCTAGCCCCTGCTGGAGTATCCCTGAGGTGTGGTCAGAGCTTCTGGGGATTCCAGATCATTCTCCCCTGGGCCTCGCTGCCCTGGAAGGGTCTCAGAGGGGGCTTCAGAAACAGGCACCCATTGCTCCAATGGGCCCGAGAAGACCGAGCCCCTAGAGTGATGGAGAATAGCACCCTTTGAGGAACACTTCCTTAGCTCCTCCTCCCAACTTGTCATCGAGCCCTTCTGACTTGTAGTGACCCCAGAATCGCACCCCATGGGGTTTCCCTGACTCGTTTTTCACTAGTAGATCACCAGGCCTTGCTTCTGAGGTGCCTCGGGGTAGACTCAAACCATCAATGTTTTGTAGCCAAATGGTCTGACCATGTGCACCGCTCAGGAACTCCACTCGGATCAGGGATGTTGATCTGAGGCTTCCACAGCCCCCGGCACTGCTGTGATATCTTTGTTCGTGGCACACATGCCACCCAGCGTGCTGGCCTGTCTTTGTGCGCACGGCACGTGTCAGCTGGCACTCTTGCAGTGCCTGTGTGATAGTGACTTGTGTCACCTGCTCAGTCGTGCTGTCTATGTGAGCACAGCACGTGTCCTGTAGGCACTGTCATAACGCCTGTGTGCATGGAGCACACGTCACCCAGTGCTGTCACGTGTCTGCGCACCCATGACACATGTCACCAGGACTGCTGGTAGGTATTTGTCTCTGACACTAAACTGGGCACCCCGAAGGGGTATCTCTGGACCCTGATACTAGAACTGAGCCTGACAACTCAGCGCACAGTCATGCCACTCACATCGGCCCTGTGGGACAGGGCAAGAACCACCCCTGTGGGTTTCTGAGACTATAACTCTTTGTGGGAGTAGAAAACCTCACCTTTCTCCTATGGAGTGGCTGGGCTGATAGTTTCAAACTGCCAACCTGGCAGCAAGGTTGGCAGCACAATGATAACAGTAAAACTCACTGCCATCAAGTCAATGCCAACTCATAGCAACCCTATAGGACCAGGGTAGAACTGCCCCTGTGAGTTTCTGGGACTGACACTGTTAACAGGAGTAGAAAGCCCCGTCTTTCTCCCGAGGGGCAACTGATAGTTTCAAACTACTGGCCTTCCAGATGACAACTGATGTGTAACCCCTACGCCACCAGGGCTCCTAATGACAACAGTCGACGCCGAGTAAATACTAAATGAATGAAGATGGGCATGGGGGAGTGTAGGCTACTTGGGCCAAAAAAACAAGGGGCGGGAGGAAGGGAACCTGGTAGATGCGCCAGGGGCTGATCTGGACTGGCCAGGCTGAGGCACCTGACTGACAGATCCCTGCTCTGCTCGGGGAGGGACATGTCGTAACATAAAACTGGCACATGATGGGGGCAACTGACCTCCTTTAACTTCACTAGATGGAAGGAAAATCAAAATCATCAACCTGAGTCCGATTCCTATGCTGCGGAGGTCAGGCATGCCTCCTCTCCCATCTTTTTGCCAAATCTAACATCAACGGCTGCACAAGACCACTTTCACGGGTTGAAAAGCAAAGAGGTCACTCTGAGGCCTCTGGTGCGCCTGACCCAAGCCAGGGTACTTTCAGTCACCTCATCTGCATGTGAAAATTGGGCACTGGATAAGGAAGATGGAAGGAGAATCTACACATTTGAATGACGGTGTTGGTGAAGGGTCTTGAAAGTACCACAGACGGCAAAAGAACAAACCAATCTATCTCGGGAGAAGTGCAGCCAGCACGCTCCTTAGAAGCAAAGATGGGGAGACTTCATCTCACATACTTTGTCAGGAGAGTCCGGTCCCTGGAGAAGGGCATCATGCTTGGTAGAGTGGAGGGGCACCGAGAAAGAGGAAAACCCTCAATGGTGTGGATGGACACAGGGACTACCACATTGGGCTCAAACACAGAATTTGGGAGGATGGCGCAGGACCCGACAGAATTTCCTTTTGTTGTACAGAGTCACGGTGAGTGACTACCCGGCAGCACCTCCTCCCACGGCACTTTCGGCTTCTCTGCTAGGTTCAGTCATTCATTGCAACAGCCACAATGCACTCAAAGCCAATACTCGTGATTATAGGGTTTATTAAGAAAGTAACAGGTTATAGTTTAGGGTTAGGAATGACTCAGGACACAGTTCTTCAATTAGGAGAGCCTTTTTGCTGTCATGCTACAGGCAGGCCTCTCTCTGGCCTCTAGCCTCTCAGTCCCTTCAGTGTAGCCTCTCCGCTTTTCCAGCAAATGTTTCAAAGCTCTTTAGCTCTGCCAAAAAGTGCTCAGCGGGGCACTCTACCCCACCAGTAAGTGTCAGCGGGAAGATGCTCTCTAGCTCCCTGGAGCAGCAAGCTCCAACAACAAGTGCCAGAAGGTGCCCTACTCCACCAGAAGCCCCTGCCCAAAGGTGCTCAGCTTTCTCATTCCATCGGACGGAACACTCCCTGTAACCATCTGACTCCATTGGCCAGCAATCCCACTTGGTCGTCTTGAATCAATCTCCTGCTTCTCCCGTTTCTGCCACCGCTTCTCTTTTGCACACACGCTGCTGTTGCAGGTCTCTATGTCTCCTGGATCTAAGAGATTCTAACATGGAAACCCTGGGTCCAAAAGAAGTGTTCCACTCTTAGATCTTCTTTCTAGGCCGTGAGGAGGGCCCCTCTGCTCTGGGATTGGTTCTCTTTGAAGTCCAGCAGATGGCAAAACTAACCAATCCCCTTGTCCGGGTTCCAGACACCTTATTTGCGTATTATCACAGCTGCCCAATCCTCATGGTGGGCCACGAGCACCTTATTTGCATAGTTCCAGCAGCTCCTTTGCAAGATGGTGGCTAGACAGACCACGCAGAAGCAAGCTGACCGACCTCACCTTGAGGGCGGGGATGTTTCAGTGGAGAGGGCCGTGTGAGGGGCGGTCCAGTTGCCCCAGGGTAACCTACGGAGCTGAAGACGGCCTCGCCTTTCTGGAGCGCAGCTTCTGATTCTTCTGGGCCTCAGCCTAGCGCTTAACTGTTGGCGACAGCAGGGCTCCTTTGACCAGGCCATACCTATTTCTCAGGCTTCTGGGCGGCCCGATGATGAGGTAATGGGCAGACGTGCGCCGGCTTGGCCTCCTCCAGGATCCACGTTTCCAGGCTTCGCTTTCTCCACTTTCTGAGCTGGGGTGCAAAGGCCGCCTGGGCCGTGGAGCCCCTGCAGAGGGTCTCGCGGGGTGCCGGGGAGGGGCCGCCCCG